AACCTAGACAGCATATTAAAAAGCAGAGACATTACTTTGTCAACAAAGATCTGTCCAGTCAAGATTATGGTTTCTCCAGTAGTCATGTATGATGTGAGAGTTGAACTATAAAGAACGCTGAGCGCTGAAGAATTGGAGCTTTTGAACTGTGGTGTTGGAGAAGACTCTTGAGAGTCCCTTGGACTTCAAGGAGATCAAACCAGTCCATCCTAGAGGAGATCAGTCCTGGGTGTTCATTGGAAGGACTGATGTTGAAGCTGAAACTCCAGTACTTTGGCCACCTGATGCAGAGAGCTGACTCATTTGAAAAGACCCTGATGCTGGGAAAGACTGAAGGCAGGAGGAGAGGGGACGACAGAGGATGAGATGGTTGGATGGCATCACCGACTCAATGGACAAGAGTTTCAGTAAACTCCAGGAGTTGGGGATGGACAGAGAGGCCTGGCATGCTGCAGTCTATGGAGTCACAAAGAGTTGGACATGGCTGAGCAACTGAATTGAACTGAACTGATCGGACACATGCCCACATATCCTCCAAAATACTGAGAACTAACTAAGAATTAATCAGGCTGATGAAAGTAAGAAAGGTGATTTGGAATAGAAAATAAAGACAGGAGTTTTCCTTCCCCTTGCGTAGAAAGCCCAGTGACAGGTCTCTGTGCTGGTAGAGAGCTCTTGCCAAACACTTGCTTTCCAGCGCTCTTGGGTCAAAGGTGGAAGAGTTACCAGGTGTGAAATTGCATGGCTCTTTTGTAATCGTAATTATTTATCATCCTTACTAAAAATCTAACTAATCCCTTTTCAATGAAAGTTTTCCTGCAGACCACTCTACACCATATCCCAGTCCATCAAGGGGAGTTTCTTTGATATCATCATGTTTCTTTCTTTTTGAAATTCAGCACAGCAGGATAATCTCCTTGGGGAGTAGAAAGAAACTAAGGGTAGAAGTACTTCATGGAGGTTACAAAGCCTGCTACAGATAAAGCACAGATCAGCTCTGTCAGAGCTGCAATGGATGACCATGTTAACCCACTTCTGTATCATTTAGGGAAAATAGCTTGTCCACTTATTGCTGGCTATTCTGCAAGCAAGTTTGCTCTGGATGGGTTCTTCTCCTCTCTCAGGATGGAATATGAGGCGACCAAGGTCAATGTGTCAATCACCCTCTGTATTCTTGGCCTCATCGACACAGGTAAGTTCAAGAAATTGGAATAAGTGACCTGCAGATGGACTGTCTGTCTTACTATGGTGGGTAAAGAGGGTGCTGAACTCCCTGACGTCATTGTGTGTCAAGCACTGAAAACCAGTGACAGCACTAGACCCCCTTTAATGATGTGTTCTGTCACCTGTGGAGCTTCTGACTGCTCTTTGACCCTCTCTCCATTCTGACTGCCAACTGTGCTGCGTAACAGCACATTCCTCACCTGACCCTATTCTGAACACCTTATGTCCCTCATGGAAACTCAATGGCCATTACTTTCCTATGTGAGATTATTAAATATGAGTTTGTTTTCCTTAATAACACATCAATAATAAGCCACAGATGTCACAACTTTGATATGTTGCGCTGAGAGGGACACAGCATCATTTGGGGGGGGTTTCTTGTCGAAAACACATAATCCTATTCTAATGAGGAGAACAACGGGGGGAAAAAACCAAACTGGGGGGGGGGGGTTATACANGTTATACAGATCCATTGAACAGAACTCTTCCAAAGTGTCAAGGTGATGAGAGACAAGGAAAGAGTAAGGAACTGTCAGAGATCGGAGGGAAAAGAAGAAAAAATTACTGCTAAGTGTACTCCTGGATAAGATCCTGGAACATACAAAGGACATTAGTGAAAAAATTAAGTCTGCAGTTTAGTTAGTAATATTGTTCCAATTCTATCATATATATTGTTGATAGTTGTATAATGGTTATGTATGATGTTTTGATTGAAAGATGTAAGGAAAGACTTTGCACAATTTTTTAAACTTTTCTGTAAGTCCAAATGCAAGTTTATCTAAAATATGTGATAGAACTTTAATCATACTTTATTGAAGGGACTTCCCTGGCAGTCCAGTGGTTAAGACTCCACACTTTCACTGCAGGGGGCATGGGTTCAATCCCTAATCAGGAAACTAAGATCCTGCACTCTGCACAGCCAAATAAAACATTTTTTTTAAGTTTGGATACATTGAGTGGTAGTTACAGAACAAAAGAGAGAGAAAGACAAAGACACACAGTGAAACAAGAAGGGGTGGGGAAACAGAGAGAAGCTGGGCAAGAAGGACACAAATCCTAGGAGGAGAGAGCAGGTAGCAATAGTTTCCCTCCAAGTGAACGTGGTTGATGCTGCCAAGGGGGCCAAGGCCTGGATTCCTGTCTGTCTCTTCCTTTTACAAGTCAGTCCTCACTATCACATCTCACTCTGATTTTGCGCATTGACTCTTCCCATCACATGGCTTCTATCCTCATTCTGCTCCCCAATATCACTCCCTCACTCCAACCAAAACACCCGAGAGAGGAGTCTGATTCATTCAAATCGCTCAACTAGTAACCTCCAGTTGCCCCCACAAATTTCCATCCAGGAAGACAGGGTCCATATGAACACTAAGATTCTCTTTGCCCAATAGGCCCTCAACAAGCCCAGTCTTCCCCAGGTATTCCCGACAGGGCCCGAACAAGCACTGGCCAACAGCCCCTAAAAGCTAAGCTGCTGGTGTCTGCAGGCCTCCCATCATGTAGACACTACTTGTCTTGGATAACCACACTCTTCCCTTCTCGCTCTACAGACACAGCCATGAAGGCAATTGCTGGGATATACAGTGCACAAGCGTCTCCAAAGGAAGAATGTGCCCTGGAGATTATCAAAGGCGGAGCTCTGCGCCAAGATGAAGTATATTATGACAGTTCCATCTTGACTTCTCTCCTGCTGAGAAATCCAGGGAGGAAGATCATGGAATTTCTCTCCTTGAAGAGATATAATATGGAAAGATTTATAAACAACTAGGCGCTTCCTGAGAGCTGGGCATCATAAAGGGAGCTGGGAACAATCCAGCCTGGAATTTACCCGAGCTCCATCATGAAGGTATCTCCCCAGAGAGATAAATGAGTGCCCTCAGGGGACTGCAAGTCACAGAGCACATCTCACAATTTAAAGGAGACCCTCTAACATTTGTGGAAAGGTGATTATAATGAATGCCATGAGCCAGCAATTGTGAAATTGACAGTAACCATAGATATAATTACAAGATAGTTACATCAAGTTTACCTCAACGGTAATAAGGCTACAATGTTTAATCAATATTAATTCTGATAAAGGTCACATAAACTTTGTAAATTCATACCTCATGGCTTTAACTTCAGTTCATTCAGTATGATTCCATTAAAAAAGCATAACCTATACATGTGAGATTTTTAGTGTACATTTCTTATTTTGTGATATGAGCCTCTTATCTGCTTTTGAGTTGAAGAAATCATCCTACTTCATTTAGTGAGCATAGCATCTTCACCATTTTGTATATTTCAGATGCTCTTCATATTATTTCACACTGTTCCTCTGGAGAGGAGAACATCTGAGCATGAATAAACAGAGCAAACCCAGAGAAGTGGAGGTCCCTGTGATGCTATGAAACCACAGAACTTACATCTGTTCAATGTATTCACAGTGCATCAAGCATCTATAATTTACGTGTGAACACTCAATATTAGAAGTTTGTCGAGGAGAGGTTGGAGTTCAAATCATTCACTCACACATTTAGTCACTCATTCATTCAACAAATGTCTATCCAACACTTGCCAGGTATCACTTGACTACAACCAAAGAGGACACAAAACACTAACAACTCCACAAAGCCCCATATTGGCCAGGTCCTCCAACAGGTGACAGTGGAAAACTGGATAATTCTAGCAGAGTTAAATGAAAAGGAGATCCTTTACAGAAGTGTGGGCAAGGTTATAGGGAAGTCACAGAGGTAATGTAGCATCTCAGGTTAGTTTTGGCTATTTCCAGCCCCAGGCCCACCATCAGGACAAGAGGAAAGAACTGTCACAAAAGCCCAGAGGGTAAGAAATGCTTGCAGAGTGCCATAGGACAGGAGCTATGATACTCAGTTAAAGGATGCCACCAGCCCACCAAGGACCACAAAGGAGGGATCTGGAGAAATAAATACATCTTCCCTCTGATTCCCTGCAGGTATTTTCAGTTAAGTGAACAGAGGGGCAAAGTGCAGATTGATATAAACCATACAAGTCAGCATACCCAGGCACACAGCAAGATGGGGAAGGATGGAGAGTGTTTTGGAGGGATAGATGGAATACATCCAGCACAAACTCCGCACTCCCAAATGTAGGGTTTCCATGGGAAGTGATGCTGGGACACAACACATGGGCCTGGAGGTGTAGGGTAAGTTTCCTTTTCTGGCCTCTTAATCTAAACTGCTGGGCAGCAGGACAAATTGCAGTCCAGTGAGCTGCCAGCCACATGGACAAGGAGCTGGATCTGGAGGGTGAAGATGGCTGGACTTTTCTGAGAGAGAAGACCTCCGTAAGTTATGCCCAGGGAAAGGAAGCAGGAGAAATCTGACCGAGACTTAGAATTTTCTTGAGTAGAGGATAAACGTCTTACTATGTGAGGCTTTCCCCAGAATTCAAAAAGGATGATATCAGAAATTAGGTGTGTACTTCCGCAGTACTCCAGTGGTGAAGAACCCATCTGCCAGTGCGGGGGACACGGGTTCAGTTCCTGGTCTGGGAAGAGTCCACATGCTCTGGGGCGACTGAGCCCAAGCACTGCAGCTACATCTACTGCATATACTGAAGTCTGTGTGCCCAGAGGCTTCACAAGAGAAGCCCGAGCACCGCAGCTAGAGAGTGGCCCCCACTCGCTGAAACTAGAAACATCAAAGATCCAGCAGAGCCAAAAATAAATGAATAAACTTAAAAAAAAAAGAGAGAGAGAAAGAGATGAAGTCTGAGATCTGAAGCCATTGGCACACTCATCATTTGCTGTCTTCACTAGCCTGGACATTACAATTCCCTCATCTTCAGCGGCATGACTTTACTACTCCAAGCAACTTCTGTCCAGGAAGATAAATGGTACAAGCCAATTTAAAAATGCTTGGTTTTTCAATAGACAGCATCAAAAGGCTATTACTCTTCAAGACTCTTTGGAATCCTCATGTCAGAACTCCGTCTTCGCAATCGGAAATGCTTGCATCATGACCCTTCTCCAGTAATAATCAAACCACCTCACTGAAAGCCCACATTAAACCAGACTCCAACACTTCATAAACACCCCATTTTGCCCTCGCATTCTGAAAGGCTGCAAGTCTCCATCAAGGTAGCACCTCCCTTCACCTGAGTAAGCAATAAACTCAGTTCTTTGTCTCACCAAACAGTGGCTGTTATTGTTTCAGGGAGCCCTTCCCAAGGGACCCTCTCAAGAGCCCTCCCCCCGCTCCTCACCTGGGTCACCTGCCCCTCAAATATCTGCCCACTATCTCCAGAACCAAGGGCCATGCAGATGACACCACTCTTATAGCAGAAAGCAAAAAGGAATTAAAGAGCTTCTTGATGAAAGTGAAAGAGAAGAGTGAAAAAGTTGACTTAAAACTCAACATTCAAAAAACAAAGATCATGCCATCCGGTCCCATCACTTCATGCAAATAGATGGGGAAACAATGGAAACAGTGATAGAAAAGACTTCCTTTTCTTGGAGTCCAAAATCCCTGTGAATGGTGACTGCAGCCATGAAATTCAAGACGCCGCTCTTTGGGGAAAAAAGAAATGACAAACCTAGACAGTATATTAAAAGGCAGAAACATTACCTGGCCAACAAAGGATCATATAGTCAAAGCTATGGTTTTTCCAGTAGTCATGTATAGATGTGAGAGCTGGACAATAAAAAAAGCTAAGCGCTGAAGAATTGATGCCTTCGAACTATGGTGCTGGAAAAGACTCATAAGAGTCCTTGGACAGAAAGGAGATCAAACTAGTCGATCCTAAAGGAAATTAACCCTGAATATTCATTGGAAGGACTGATGCTGAAGCTGAAACTCCAATACTTTGGCCACCTGATGCAAAGAGCCAACTCACTGGAAAAGACCCTGATGCTGGGGAAGATTGAAGGCAGGCGGAGAATGGGATGACAAAGGATGAGACGGTTGGATGGCACCACCAACTCAAGGGACATGAGTTTGAGCGAACTCTGGGAGATGGTGATGGACAGGGAAGCCTGATGTGCTGCAGTCCATGGGGTCGCAAAGAGTTGGACACAGATGAGCAACTGTACAATAACAGCAACCAGCAGCAAAACGGCTTTTATCACTAGGCGAGATCCACATAAAAGGACCTGACCTGCTTAGCTCAGTTCATAATAAGCTTAAAAATATATCTGCAAGGATGACTGTTTTCACATTGTATGTGGAATCCAGAGGTTCATTGCTCACTTTTCAACCACAATGACATGAAAATTCAGCATTCCTTTGTGGATTCCAAAAGCAATTCCACTGTCACTGAATGTATTAGTGAACACAGTCATCTTTTCCCAATGTTTCAGAGGAGGGAAGGAAGGCTGGGTTCACATTCAATGGGAGGGCATCATTTAACTCAAAAGTCCCCTCCAGGCCAGGTCTCTTTCAAAGTGCTTCCTCCTGGCTCTACCTCTTCCCTAACTCTGACCCCAGAGTGCTCAGCTCCCACCCTCCTTCTGCCCTGCCATCTATCATGCAAAGTGGATTCTGACTCTTAATTGGAGACCACCCAGCAATATTTTTTTAGCAAAAATATTCTTTTACCACAAGGAATTACTGTACTAACTGTTAGTAAAATTTTAAGTCACCAAAAATTACATATGTGGTTAGGGCTAACCCAAACCAAAACACCAAAAACAATTTTAATATCTACCCATAGGCTGTCAATGGGCTTCCCAGATGGCTTAGTGGTAAAGAATCCCCCTGCCAATGCAGGAGACTCAGGAGATGGGGGTTCAACTCCTGGGTCAGGAAGGTCCCCTGGAGGAGAGCATGGCAACCCACTCCAGTATTCTTGCTTGGATAATCCCATGGATAGGGGAGCCTGGTGAGCTACAGTTCATGGGGTCGCAAAGAGTTGGACACGACTGAAGCAAATGAGCATGCAGGCTGTCAATACTATGAAATCACTGTATCAGTGATAACAAATGTAACAAAGTGTAAATAATTGCACTTATGTTAAAATTATATATATATAACTATATATATATATATAAAATAGGGAGGTTTGTGCACATGTATGTGTGAGTATGAGTGTATGGAATGAGGATGCTAACTTGCATGAAGCACTCTTCTCAGACCTGACAAAATTAGGAATGGCTTCTCTCTGAGGAGCAGACCACGATTCTTATAATGGCAGTGTTATGGGTTGAGGAGTGCACCCCCCCCCCCCCCCCCNCCCCCCCCCCCCCCCCCAATATAGGTTGAAGCCTTCATCTCCGGTTCCTCACAGAAGCATTTTCACTCATGAGTCTTCAGTCCAGGCAGGGTTCCCAGAGGACGGCTCACTTCTGCTTCACTCAGAACAGCTGGGCTGGCTCAAGGGCCAGGAGCTAGAATCATCTGGAGGCTCCATCACACACGCGGCTTATGCCTGAACTGGAAAGACTGACTAGCTGGGGCCTGGAACAGCTGAGGGCTCCTTCGGCTTCCCCAGCTTTCCGTGGCCTCTTCACATGGTCTCTCAGAACAGCAGCTTCAGGGCTGCCCGGACTTCTTACAAGGTGCCTCTGGGCTCCTAAAGCATGTGTCCTGAGAGACAGAGCCGGGTGGAAGCTGTATTACCCACAATGACCAACCATAAGCTGGTAGTGAACATTTACGAAGATCCACCCCACCTCAATGAGACCAGGCAGACCCCCAGCTCGACAGACGAGTGTCATGTCACATCATGAGAAGGGCATATGGTATGGGACCCATATGGGTGCAGCCACCTTTGTCAGCTCCAAGAGACAGGGAAGGTCATAAGATCTGCTGTTACAGACCCAGAATTGGGGGCTTCGGTGGGCAGCACAAATGGGGCAAGAAGCCAGGTTCATAAGAGCTAAGGCCCTGTAGATTGCCAATAAGATGGGGGCAGGAGGTTGATGAGGAAGAAAGGAGGTGAACACCAAGCAGAGGCGTGATCAGATGACAAATTTACAGCCAAAGTTGGAATAAAATTAGTTTTGCCTTCAGCCTGAACTTTCAGGGTTCACCTTGGGCCTAAAGACGTATGGAGACTTCAGCCTGTGTTCAGTAGAAACCAGCTGCTTCTTGATTCTGCTCAACTTATCACATATCAGACGGCATGGGGAAAGCAAGAGAAGCTATGAGACACTATAAGGTAGTTAATAAACTAAACTTTTGGTCTTTCCAAAGGAGTGTTGGTAAAGGCTTA